AGGTTTTATAAGGAAAAATTTTAAGTCGAGGGTAAAAATAGCTTATGCTTGGATGTATAGGAACCAGAAGGCAAATATAAAAAAGATACAGATAAATATGGAAATACAATCATAAAGACGAATAAATAAAATACGTACTCACTACACTGTAATGAAATTATGAATTAAATAGAGAAAAGATCGAGTTAATTTATGATAAATAAGTTATAATAAGATAACACAACTAAAACAATGTTTGAGTTTTTTGGATATGTAATAAAGGGGTGAACTTCTTCATCATCTGTCATGAAAAGTCATGTGTGTGTGGGCAAGATTCAGTTGAATTGTGTGTGGTGAACTCTGTGGGTACTGTAATTATGGTGTTCTAGCATAGATGTGATTGATATGTTAGCTATCGGATGGGTGCATGCATGCGTGGCCTATTCCTTGGTTGAGGGGTGAACCCTTTTTGGATAATGTATGACATATGATGTTGTATGGTAATCATCAATGAGTGGGTACGTGTGAGACCACTTATGGTCATTGTGTAGAATTATGTAAAACTCATGTCATACGGGCATGGTGAATATGTCCATGGGAACTAAGGGAAGTACAATGAGTAGAGATTAAGTAATAATCATTTCTTAATGTATTTTGCGGGGGCGTAAGGGTCATGTATCATGATTTAATGTTGAGTTATTCAAAAGAGTAGTATGATAAAAAAAAAGGATGTTGATCATATCCTATAATTACATACATGAACGAGTGGAATGACTGTAGAGGTATCGAATAACCTAAATATCTAAAATAAACTGGGAAAGTGTAATATAACTAAGGGTTTAGTTATATTGGTTTGATTATTAAATTGTTTTTGTTGAGCATGTGTAACTCATTACTTTTCATCTTTCAGAATATATAAAACAATAATAAGTCCAAGATTTACCATAACAACATCACAAACCATAAAGTGTGCAGGACCGATGCTAACTACAGTTAACTTTAATACAATATTTCATACATTGAGCAATTCAAACTTACTACTTGAATTATTCATGATGGTTAATTTATGAGTATTTGGATATACTTTGTTGATCACATTTATATGGTTATCTTATAAGTTAGTTTCACATGAATATATATGAATGTTGTATATTGACACCTTGCTTCTTTCGGAGGTACAGGTTATCACACTATTTGAAAATATTTAAAACTTATCATGTATTATTTTTGTTAAATAAACAATGCATTTTCAAAAATAATTTAAATATTTTTATATTTGTTATTATACACTAATATTATTAATTATTTCGATACATGTCAACTGAAATGTCTAAATGGTAAAAAAAAATTATGATCATACACCATAACTCATTCCTTATTCGTTTATTCATCGCTCTCCATATTCACTCAATAAGAAAAGGCCCAACCGTTATGTTTTTATCTCATTTGTTCTATTCCAGCTTCATTGTTCCACGTTCATCTGCAAATTTTGGTCATGCTTGATCGAATATGATTATAATGAAAAATAATTGTATGATTCATATTGAACTTGAAACAGTTCATTCTTCAATCCAACTCCCTAGTCTATTTGTAAAAGCCTAAACCCCCTACTAGGGATTCTTAGTATATGACTCAAAAATAGTGAAATAAGCAAAACTGAAATGTATAATTTAGCAGAAGCAATTAAAGTTCAGGGTTACATTCCTTACTACTTAAAATACCCAATAGGGTTACGAAAATATCATTGAAGAACTTAAATGAAAAGGAGTAATAAAGAAAACAAATGTGATCAACCTTTGCTTGAAACTGGAGAAGCGGATAAACAATCTCCTACATAGTTTTCTTACTGTTCAAGATCTAGGTATTGGTGGTCCTAATCTAAAATGGTTAATAATAAAGGGTGAGCTACACTATCTCAGTAAGAATATCAATACATTATCACTAATACAGAAAATCAAAGGGTTATCGAAAACGTAAAATAACCAATGGAGCTTATTTTTAACAAAATTCAAACGCTAGTGCATTCATTATTCATTTCACTAAAAACATTAATTTTTTCAACTCACCTGTAAGTTCTTAAATGTTATTTATTGAGATAAATATTAGGATAACAATTTACAATGCGTACTCTAAAAACATATAGCAATTAATCTTTCATTATTTTCCAAAATTAGATTCCTACCACATTCATTTTTATTATTTTACCTTACCTATTGGTGCCGCTGGGGGTCCATAGCGATTCCCACTACACATGGATACGAGCATTTATTCTATAATCAAATGGTTGTCTCTATACCTCGTTCGGTAATGGGTGCCAAATACACATATGCATCATACTCCGTCCGGTATAAGTGTAATTAAAACAATTTCTA